TCCTGGTACTCCGTCTGGTGATAGTGGTCGGGGCCTTCCCAGCATGTTTCCGTGACTAAATACCTCCGAACAGTCATGCACTCCTGGTACCTTGGTCTTGGTCATCCTATCTAATCAAGATCTCTTCTTACTCTTTCTTTTAAGTGTAAACTCCTGTTATGGCAGTTATGTGTGATGTACACTTTACCAGTATACTCAGTAGCGTTCTGTACCTGGACTGATCAACTGGCACAGCGTGAACTGGTACCAGTACTATATAATCTATGGCTGACCGTTACAACTGTCCGACTGTACTGACTGAGTGTGAACCAAGCTTTAGTACAGTACAACCTCGATAACTCAAACCTTGGTAACTTAAAAATTATAACTTCAAAAAATAATATGTTCTCTTCCCATCAGAGCCCAAAACCTCTATAACATAGACCCTTGATAACTTAAAATGTCTATTACATAAAATATTTTGTGTTTCCCTTAGACTTTAACTTATCGAGATACTGAATACAACTGACTTGTCATGTGCTCCTAGTACCTTGATTATGGAAATTTATGCAATCCTCAAACATTTCTTTTTTCTCTTTAGTGTCAGGTTACTTCTAGTATTATAGATGAGTTTCTGTCCAGCGAGTCCCTGGGGTCGCAGCCGGGCGGCGGCGAGCACTGCTTCAGCACCTCCTCGCAGAGCAAGTCGCGCATCCGCGTGGAGCGCCGCGACGACATCGTCATACATCCCAACGTCAGCAACCACGCCACCTCGCACAACAACGACAAGTCAGTAAATAACATATATTTCCATTCCCATGAGCCCTTTTAGTACATGTTAGAATGCGTTGAAATGTAACAAACTAGCTGTTTCTTGCGACTTCGTCCAAGTGAAATTAAAAGTTGTTAAAAATGTAGGCTCAGCGATAGCGTAATTTTTGAAATCGGGCCGGTAGTTTTTGAGTTATTTCAATACATTCAAAAATAGAAATCTTTCCTTTTTACAATATTAGTGTAGATTTATTTCCATGAAACTGTTTTTTTATCGCGCACTGTTGC